TACGTAACAAACCTTAATAATTCCCATATATGTTTTGTTTTAATAATACGTAACAAACCTTAATAATTCCCATATATGTTTTGTTTTAATAATACGTAACAGACCATATGTGTTTAGTTTTAATAATACGTAATAAATCTTAATATTTCCCATATGTATTTAATTTTAATAATATGTAACAAACCTTAATAATTCCCATATATGTTTTGTTTTAATAATACGTAACAAACTATATGTGTTTAATTTTAATAATACTAAACAAAGCTTAATAATTCCCATGTGTTTAGTTTTAATGATACGTAACAAACCTCAATAACTCCCTTATATGGTTTGTTTTAATAATACGTAACAAACCATATGTGTTTAGTTTTAATAATACGTAACAAACCTTAATAATTCCCATATCTGTTTAGTTTAATGATACGTAACAAACCTTAATAATTCCCATATATGTTTTGTTTTAATAATACGTAACAAACTATATGTGTTTAATTTTAATAATACGTAACAAACCTTAATAATTCCCATATGTGTTTTGTTTTAATAATACGTAACAAACCGTATGTGTTTAGTTTTAATAATACGTAACAAACCTTAATAATTCCCATATGTGTTTAATTTTAATAACTGTTTGTTTGTTCGTTTGTTTTTGAATTTCGCGCAAAGCTACACGAGGGCTATCTGAGCTAGCCGTCCCTAATTTAGCAGTGTAAGACTAGAGGGAAGGCAGCTACTCATCACCACCCACCGCCAACTCTTGGGCTACTCTTTTACCAACGAATAGTGGGACTGACCGTCACATTATAACGCCCCCACAGCTGAAAGGGCGAGCATGTTTGGTGCGACAGGGATTCGAACCGCGACCCGCAGATGGCGAGTCGAGCACCTTAACCACCTGGCCATGCCGGGCCCATCTGGAGAACTAACTGGTCAGAACGATTTATGTAAGGCAACCTTTTTCTTTCTGACCAATCTGTTCATTTATTAATACTTCTCAGAAAACTGTACAACCGAGAAAAAATATTTAAGAAACAACACCAGATTCAACACGATCCAGTACAGTTTCCATAAAGCATTGTTTATCGTTTGTTAAACAGATAAAATCAAATTATAAGGTAAGGGTGTGGTAAGTTGAGTTATTAAAAATGACTTACCAACAGTAATGAGTAACTGAGACGTTAACTCTTTAGCTAATGATACATTTAGTAAATAACTCGCTTGTTGTAGGAAAAATTCAGAGTTCGATCCCGACCCTACATTAGACACTGTAAAGCCACATCTCTGCTTGTTTGTTATCATAAGAAATTCATCTCTCTCTCTCTTCATCTTCCTCCTTATCCATCTTGACAGACTACTTTAGGGTAGTCTTTCTGCTGTTCACTTACGTTTTAATACAATCATTGGACTTAGTATTTTAAATATTTTGAAAACGCAAAATTTATGTTAATTCCACTGAAAGACAAACACAGAGCCGATTTCTATCAGAGGTGACACATAAAAGTTAACAGTAATTAACAAAACCTATTCAGAGGTATCGTAATGAAGTATTCTTTTCAGCACGTGTAATACG